ACGATGTTAGGATCAAAGAGGGGTCTTAACATATTGATATTGATGATATGATCATGCATCATTTGATTTGTGTCAAGAGTCATATTCTCTAGTTCAAAGAGGGGACTAGTGGCTTGTCCCAATCTTAGAGATGAGGCTCATGGGTTCAGAGAGGGGGCCTGGTTCTTGAGAGAACCAAATATTGAGTTGGTACCACATGGATATGCATCGAGTTATAGTTGAGTTACATTACATAAATGAATTGTATGTATGATATTTGGTTTGTGTGTGATTATTGATTTAGGTGTGAAAATGTATCATGTAATGATGTACGTGATTATATGTGGAATGTGTATATGTTGATACTCTACCTTGAAGTATGTACCACTTACTTCATTAATTTAATTTCTCACCTCTTTGTTGTTGTTTTTATGGTTTGTACTCCTCTTCGGAGTACAGACAAACAGGTAACTTAGTAGCTTCTTAGAGTGGAGGATGGCGCAAGATTGTTCTTCTATTATCTTTTTGTTTTGTGTCTTTAGATTACGTGATATAATCTGTAACACTGGGCAGGGTGAATGATGCTTTAATTATGTTATATTGTTTAGAGAGTTAGACGTCATATCTCATCGTGATGATAACTATGTTGTTTGATGGAGATTTTTACTATGTTTTATCTGAATTTAATAAAGTATTCATGAGAATTATATGATTTTGCGAAGCATTATACTTTATGATTCTGATGCGATAATAGCCTAAGTGAAGGTGAGTATGCGATGACAGGTGTTGAATGTTTATTTTAAATTATAAGTGTTGCAGAATAAATGTTTTTGATGTCGAGTAACATCCTAAGTACAATATATGTTTTATTTATGCCTTATTTTTATGATAATAAGTGCGGGTTTTTGGGTTTTACATAGTGGTATCAGAGCAAGTAGGTTCGTCTGGCCAGGTTTGTGTAATGTTGTATGTTCCCTAGGGGTCGACTACTGTGTAGACACTGTCGATGTTTTATTTCTTCTAATGTTACTTTCCTATATGTAGAGATATGACTAGAGGAAGAAATGATGATGTGATTGTTGAATATTTGGAGTCGTTAGCTCAGGCAATGACTTAGAACCAACAGAAAAATTAGAATTCTTGAGAGAAAGATCAGTTCGGTGCTTTGGTGAAGTTTTAGTGGAACAACTCGCCAACTTTTAAGGGCATGCATGACCCTGATGGTGCACATGCATGGCTCATAGGATTAAGAAGATATCCCTAGTGATGATTTGCACTGAAGTTCAGAAGGTGCGGTTCAGTACTCATATGTTGGAAGAAAAGGCCGAAGGCTTATGGGATAATGCACGTTAGAGGATGGAAATTATAGGTACATAAGTCACTTAGGTTATGTTCAGAGCTGCATTTCTAGAGAAGTACTTTTCATAGGATGTGCGTGGCAAGAAATAGATTGAATTCCTTGATCTGAAACAAGGGAACTCGATTATTGTTGATTATGCTGTCAAGTTCGAGAAACTGGTGAAATTTTTCCTGCATTACGATAGTGCATAAGTTAAATGGTCTAAGTTCATCAAGTTTGAGACTGGATTGCGTCCAGAGATTAAGTAGGGTATTAGATACCAGGAGATTATCCAAATCCCTATAATGGTGAATAAGTGCAAGATTTTTGATGAGGATAGTAGGGCTCGATCTGCTCACTATAAGAGTCTTAGTGAGAAGAAATGGAAGGTACAGTTTCGAGGGAAGCCGTATGTGACTCCAATTGACAGGAATAAGCAAAAGACTTCTGATGAGAATAAGCCAAGTGGAGGAGGAGATCTTTCTCATGTCAAGTGCTACAAGTGTGGTGTTATGGGACATCATGTTAATGAGTGTTAGAGTTCTAAGAAAAAGTTCTTCAAGTGTGGGAACACAGGTCAACAGGTTGCTGATTATAAGAGCAATGAGATCACTTGCTATAATCATGGGGAGCAGGGACATATCAATACTAATTTTCAAAATCCAAAGAAGTTTCATTATGGATGAAAGGTATTTTCTTTGTTTGGTTCAAAGACTACCAGTGAAGACAAATTGATTCGAGGTGTGTTTTATTAATAGTATACGCTTGATTGTTATTATTGACATGAGTGTAAAACATACGTTTATTTCTTAAGATTGTGCTAAGAGGTTTAACCTCAAATTGACTTCTATGAATGGGAGTATGGTTGTTGATACTCTGGCTCTTAGACCTGTAATGACGTCATGTGTTTGCTTGAATTGTCTATTATATATCTTTGGTAAGGATTTTGGAATGGATTTTTCTGTCTACCATTGATAAAACTTGATGTTATTCTTGGTATGAACTGGTTGGAGTTTAACCATGTTCATATTAATTATTTCGACAAGATAGTGTCATTTCCAGAGTTCGTGGAAGAGAAAGATATGTTTGTATCTGCTAAGCAAGTAAATGAGTCTGTGAAAGATGGTGTGATGGTGTTTATGGTGTTAGATTCCTTAGATGCTAAGAGTAAGGGAGTAACTAGTGAGTTACATGTCGTATATGAATTTCCAAAAGTGTTTCCTGAAGACATCAGTGATTTTCCGCCAAAGTGTGATGTAGAGTTTTCAATAGACTTAGTACTTGGTACTAGTCCTATTTCAATGGATTCGTATTGGATGTATGTTGCATAGTTGAGTGAGTTGAAGAAGAAACTAGAAGATTTGCTTGAGAAGAAGTTCATTCAGCCTAGTGTTTCATTGTGGGGTGTGTCAGTGTTGTTAGTGAAGAAGAAAGATGGCAGTATGCGTTTATGTGTTGACTCTCGATAGTTGAATAAATTTACTACTAAGAACAAGTATTTGCTTCTGAGGATTGATGATTTGATGGATCAATTAGTAGGGGCTTGTGTCTTCAGTAAGATTTATTTGAGGTAAGGATATCATCACTTTCGTTTGAAGGATGGAGATATTCTGAAGAGCACATTTAGAATGAGGTACAATCATTACGAGTATTCAGTAATGTCGTTTGGTGTGTATAATGCTCCCAGTGTGTTCATGGAGTGTATGAACATAATTTTTCATCCGTATTTAGATAAGTTTTTGGTGGTGTTTATTGACGATATTCTAATTTACTCAAAGATTGATGATGAGCATGTTGAACATCTGAGATTCGTGTTAAAACTATTGCAGAGAAATAATTTTGGCTAAGTTTTCAAAGTGTGAGTTTTGGTTAAGAGAACTAAGTTTCCTCGACCATATTATTTCTAATGGAGGTATTGTTGTTGATCCATTAAAGGTGGAGGTTGTGTTGCAGTTGGAGACTCTGGAGTCTGTCAATGAGATCTGAAGTTTTCTTGGACTAGATGGTTATCGTTGCAACCGGCAAAAAATAAGAGAGTCGCCACCATTAATTTTTGTCCTAAGGATACGGGGAATAACGGATAATCCTAATTTTTTAAAGATTCTAAGTTTATGAGTTAGTTAAACGAAGGGAAGGTGTTAGGCACCATTCATATCCCTTGTTTTCAAGGGGCTCCACTTTTAGGTTTATGAGTGAATTAGAGATTTCTACTTAAAACTTTATTATTTCCATATATTTAAGAAAATAATTTATTTTTTTAATAGCGTGACTCGCCTTGGTTTTAACCGCGTGCCTATGTATCTCCTTGTGAAGAATCAGAGTCTAATTCTGTAGTTCGTATGTTTGGTTGATGTTTTTTTATAGGATTGCGTAGAATTGATTTCAAATTATCCTTGAACCTTGTCTGGATTTTATAAAAGAGTGATTGTAGACGCAGTTCGCAGTTAATTTTGATAGCAATTCTCCTTAATCCTTTTTCTGAAAATATTTTGATTTTTGTTAAGTTAGTAGAAAAAATGGTAATTGTTGTTGGTTAGCTGTTTTAAGTTTGATTAAAGAGTCGATCTTTATCAAAAATTAATTCGCTAGAGGCGAAGAAATTGACTTGATCGATAAGGATTCAATCTTTATTAGAATTTGATCGCTCTAGACAAAGGAATTGACTTTGGTTTGTTTATCGCGTTGAGCGATAGCGTTTGATTATCGCTTTTACCAAAAACCAAGACTGTGTGAAATTTAATATTCTGATGTTGAACAGTTAATTGATAAGGCATTGAGCCAACCAAAGAATATGGTGGATGTGTATACACCAATTCTATTATTTGCAACATGTTTGAATTAATTTAATTTTAAAAATTATTTATTTTAATATTTAGTATTTTTTTAGTGTTTTGTAGTATTTAGTTTTTTTTTTGGTAATTTATAGTGTCTTTCATGATCGCAAAAATTTAAAGGATCTAAATAATAATTAACCTAAAAATTTAACCTAGATAAACTAATTAGAAAGAGGCTAATTAAATAGTAAAATTCAAAAAGGGGTGTGAATAAAATTTAGAGCAGTGTCAATTGGTAAAGGTACATAGTGGCCCAAAGTCCCAAGAACTAAAACAAAATCTTAAAATGTATTTATAATTTTCTTAGAATGATTGAATAAAAAAACAAAACAAAAAATAATATAAAAAAAAAAAAGCATGAAGATGTTGTACGTGGGGGAGCTTCTCCCTAATTGCATCATGTTAATTTTCTTCACTAAAATGCACACATAAAAAACTAGCAATGAATATTTGAAGAGTGAATTAATTTGAATTAATTATTAGAATAAAAGTAGAAAAAAAATAACAACCCATGTGAGGGTCTGCAGCATGATACCCTCTTCAGTGAGATTTTCTTGACCATTTCAAATTTTCAAAAAGGATCAATTATTCAAACACAAGTAGCATGCATAATTGTAAAGAAATAAAAAAATAAAAAATTAAGACAATAAATAGTTAATGTAAAAGCAACAGAGAGAGAATAACAACATAATACATTTTCTCCTTCTCATTCTACGATTCCTTCATCTCTTTCTTCTCAAATTCATTTTTCATCTCTTTTCTCAGTAATACAATCAAAAGAAGAAGAAAAAAATCAATAGCAACACATACGAAAACTCAAAACAACAATAAAGTGCAAACTAATTTCGATGGTGGTGACAGTGGCAAGAATGGTTGTGAGTGGTCGATCAGAACAGCGATCCAATGAGGTGCGACTAACACGGTCGGCATCGGGAAGGCTTCACAGTGGACTCAGGCTTTGTACAACACGGAGGTGGATACATGTGTGGCCTGGTCGGCTTGGTCTCGCCGGCGTGGAACCGGAGACCTCGCGGAATTTGAACCAGTGTCGGTGGTGTGTGTTGTATTACTGTTGTACATAGTTCTGAATCTGATGATATTTTCTCTTTTCTCCTTTTACCTGCAAAAATAATCCATACAAATATTGATAAGATATCGTTAATATGAATAAATATAATTTACAATTTAGTTTATGGAGTTGGTTAGAGGTGAGAAAAAAGATTAATTGTTGAAAATTGTGAATTTTTTTTTTTTTGGAATAACTATGTTTTGAAAAAGATTTCGCAAATAATTCTGTTTCAGAAAAAATTATGCAAATAATCATATTTTAGAAAACTCCTCAAGAGAGGAGTCATCCCACTTGGTGCCTACACTCCCCTTCTTGTCCTAGGCACCATCTCACTTGACGCCTCCTCTCTCTTTAGCCAAGTGAGATGGCGCATGCACTTTAAAAGTGAGAGGAGGCGCCATCTCACTTAGCTCCTAGGGCAAAATGCTATTTTTATAAATAATTTGTCAGTTTCTCCGTCATTCCTCATATTTTCTCGCACTGTTCTCTTATTTTTTACTCTGTTATTTGCGTCATGACATCGCCCATGATTTTTACCAGAGATGGTTACGTTATTTTCTCCGTCACAAAACCTCCGATGAAAATAAAATTCTGGCACATTCACTCCATGGAGCGTCTGAAAAGGGAGTTGATGCGATGACTAGAGGGAGACATCGAGGAGGGGGAACAAATTAGAAGGATCCAACGAAGACGAACAACAACCTCACTTGCGACAGGAAGACCTAATTTTTGGTTAGAGGAAGTCAAAACAGACAGCGACGTAATGTTGATGATGCATGGGTCAGATGAAATTATTTTAACGGTTGTAATTTCGTAGACTATTTATCGTGTTTTATTTCTTGTTCGCACAATATTTATTGTAACAAATACTGTTAACGAAAAACCCTAATGTTTACAACTGTATAAAGGAAAGATTTTTTGTAATACAATTTTTATGTGGTTGAGCCAGTAGCACGATTCGAACAATTTTTGCAATTGTGTCCGACCTGACGACATAAACCATACTTTCTTTCCAGCTTGTCAAGGGAGTCCATTTCAGTTGTGATGCGCTTACTTTTGGGATGACCCTTTTTATTTCTTTGCATTTGGTCATTGTGCCAAACTATTTCGCCGTCGTATGCAGGCCAATAATCTGGTTTTGCTACCAAAGGGAAGCTGTTGTTGTAAACGTTGAGCAACGTTTCAGATTTGTAAATGGGAGATAGAAGTTGTAGTGCGTCTTGATGAGTATAGGCACACGCGGAAATGACATGAGAGCAAGGCATACGAAAAGCTTGAAACTTGCCACAATCGCACCAACGAGAAGGTAGTATAACCCTATATTCTTGTCTTGGCAGGCCCTCGTTGTGGTCGATTGTCTCTGACAATGAAGTTGTGGTTGTGTCGGTCAAACCGTATAACCAGATAGGTGTTGGCTTTGGCACTTTCTGGCTTAATGTACTGCATGCAGCTTTCACTCCATAGTTGTCCAGATTGCAACACAATATTCCATATTTCACCTCTTTTGGCAAACAACAAAGCCATCCTAAAATATGTTAATTTAACCAAAGCAGTGACTGAGATGTTTCGTATGCCTTTGAATACCCCATTCATTGATTCAATTAGATTCGTTGTCTTGTGGCCCCATCTTGTCCATTGTCGTATGACCTAGTCCATTTTTCTACCGAAATATTATCGATCCACCTACTGGCTTCTGGATTTGACAAACGGATCTTGTTGCGATAATATTTGAACGTAGGTTGTGTCAATGCATATCCCGCATTCATAACCGCTTTCCTAAGATTATTGTCTTTGATCTCCCTCATGAAATTTTGGACGATATGTCTAATGCAATAGACATGCGTAGAAGGAGGGTCATGCCAACTGTTTGCAGGATTATTGTATGCACTTTCAATGGATGCATGTCTATTAGAGATCAAACAGAGATCTGGTTGAGGAGCCACATGTGTTCGGAGATTCTTGAGAAAAAAGCTCTAAGCACCACCAGTCTCCCCCTCGACTAGGGCAAAGGCAATTGGGAAAATGTTGTTGTTGTCATCTTGTGCAACTGCCATCAGTAGCGTTCCTTTGTATTTCCCATACAACCAAGTCCCATCAATTTGTATAATTTGTTTGCATGACGCAAACCCTGTAATGCAAGGTTGAAAAGCCCAAAACACTCGACTGAATATTCCATTTCTGTTGAGTTGACTACCATCCGGGGCATATGCTGGCACTGTTTCCAGAATGTAAACAGTACCCGGAGAATAAGTCTGGAGTGCATTCAAGTAGCGAGGAAGTTCTTGGTATGACTCCTCTCAGTTTCCATATACCTTTTCAATCGTCTTGGTCTTTGTTAACCACGCCTTTCGGTAAGACAGAGTATAGTTAAATACTGTAGTGATGTGAGAGATTATGGTTTTCACCTTTAATGATGGATCATTGCTGACGAGTGGTAGGATTTCTTGACAAATGAGATCATAATTTAGTTTCCGATGATCCTGTGATTGAGTAGAACTGACACACGTATGGGTAGACATAGAACCTATGACCCAACAATCACCTCTTAATCTTTATAATGCAGTGAGCTTGAACATTCAATCTGGGTGGACACACTTGATCTTGTATCTTTTTGGATTTACACGGTCCACCTTAAAATCGACCGAGTTGAGCATGTGAAATTTTTTGATGGCTCTGATACATTCTTCTCCGTTACGAAATTTGTCTTTCTCTTTTAAGTTTTCATCCGACTGCATATACGGATTGAAAAATAAATCAGAAGACGGTTCATCTCCGTCCATGTTGAAGTTTTTCATGTGCGGAGGTGGTGTGTAGATCTCGTTTGAAGGAATACCAGGTATCCCATTGTCTTCGAAATCATCATTGACCATTTCGTCAAACTCCAACTCGGCATCTTCTTCTTCTTCATCAATGACATCTACTTTTGTTTGTTCGGTCTCCAAAGGATCAACCACTTGTGACAGCTGAGGCTCTCGCAACATAATGTACAACTCAATAGAGTCATACCCAAAATACTCATGACTGGAAAACATATTCTGAAGGTCCTCGTCATCTTTAACCTAAACCTTATAAAATATTATTTGGTTGTTACCCAAAAAAAACGGATTCTGATAAAATATTTGTGTCACGGGACCTCGTCCAAGTTTGGCCACCAATCGTTTTTTAAAGTACAAGAAATTGGCTTTCCTGTTTAAACAAAATCAGATGTTCTCAGTGTCTCTAAACAAAAACCCAGAGGTGGGACAAATGTATGTCTCACCGTTGAAATGTGCACTTATCACATATTGGGATGCAGAGACCATTGTGTATGATTGTTTGAAGGTTTGAAGGTTTGAAGGTTTGAAGTTTATGAGTTAATTGCTGGAATTTTTGAATGTTCTAGTGTTTGAGAGATTAAGTGTATGAGTGTTTTGATAAATGTAAGATTAAATAGGTTGTACTGAATTTGATAAACCAACAGTAAGCACTCTCCAAGGTTGTCACCTACACTGCACCTACACTGCAACCTCTAAGGTGCCTCCCATCACGTCCAATATTGTTACATGCATTCAGAGATGCCTTCTCCAAGGCTGTCACCTAGCCTACACCCACATTGCACCTACACTGCAACCTCTAAGGCTCCTCTCATCACGTCTAATGGTGTTACATGCATGCAGAGATGTCTTCTCCAAGGTTGTCACCTAGCCTGCACCTACACTGCAACCCATGCCACCTCTTATTCGCCAACAGGGATGGAGACACCTTTCATTTTTGTACTCTTTCGCCAAGTCCAATGGCGCCTCACATCACATCCAATAGTGTTACATGCATTCAGAGATGCCTTCTCCAAGGCTGTCACCTATCCTGCACCTACATTGCACCTACACTGCAACCACTAAGGCGCCTCCCATCATGTCCAATGGTGTTACATGCATGCAAAGATGCCTTCTCCAAGGATGTCACCTAGCCTGCGCCTACACTGCAACCCATGCCACCTCTTATTCGCCAACAGGCATGGAAACACCTTTCATTTTTATACTCTTTCGCCAAGTCCAATGGCGCCTCCCATCACGTCTAATAGTGTTACATGCATTCAGAGATGCCTTCTCCAAGGTTGTCACCTAGTCTGCGCCTAAACTGCACCTACACTGCAACCTCTAAGGTGTCTCCCATCACGTCCAATGGTGTTACATGCATGCAGAGATGCCTTCTCCAAGGCTGTCACCTAGCATGCGCCTACACTGCAACCCATTCCACCTCTTATTCGCCAACAGGGATGGCAACACCTTCCATTTTTGTACTCTTTCGCCAAGTCCAATGGCGCCTCCCATCACGTCCAATAGTGTTACATGCATTCAGAGATGCCTTCTCCAAGGCTGTCACCTAGCCCGCGTCTACACTGCAACCCATGCCACCTCTTATTCACCAACAGGGATGGCGACACCTTTCATTTTTGTACTCTTTTGCCAAGTCCAATGACGCCTCCCATCACGTCCAATTGTGTTACATGCATGCATAGATGCCTTCCCCAACACTGCCACGTAGCCTGCACCTACACTACAAGAGTGACACTTATCATGCATGCATGCACCCACCTACCACCTCACTTTTTCTATGATAAAATTTTGCCTATAAATACAGAGCCTCACATACTTCTCTCGCATCCACAATCATCTCACTCTCTGCTACAAACTCTTTCATAATCTCTTATAATTTCAAACTCTTTCATAATCTTAGACATTTTCAACAATGACTCTTCTCACAATGGGCGATTCTCACAGAGGCACAAGGGACAATATTGCAGCGTTTGTAAGTTTCTTTTATACTTATACATTTTTCATACTTTTAGTAATTCTTTATTCATCTTACCTACTCTTACACTTTTTATATTATTAACTTAGGATACTAAAAGATTCAGAATCCGGTCACACAACTACCTTGCTCCCGACCCGTTGATCGTACCCTATCTCGATTACGCAGGTTTCAGAAATGTTATAAAGATCTCCAACTGCACAATTAATTCAAAGTTCATAC